AAGAAGAAGCACCATAATCCCTCCTGGGTGTGGCTCCGGCTTTTTCTCCTGGGGGGGGGTGCAAAGATACTCTGATAAAATCAGCATGATACTGGCAAAAAAAACAGACCTGAACATAAATGGAACAGATTCAGAAGATATAGACACAACTCCAAACACACTCAGCCACCTTATCTTTGACAAAGGGACCAAATATGTTCACTGAAAGAAGGATGGGCTCTTCAACAAATGATGCTAGAAAAACTGGCTTTCCACATGCCAAAGACTAAAACTAGACCCATGTCTATCACCATGAACTAAACTGAAAATGGATCAACAATTTAAATATTAAAACTAAAGGGAGGGGGCTGGGGAGATGGCTCAGTGGAATAAGTGCTTCCCTAGCAAGTGCAAAGGTCTGAGTTCAATCCCTGGTTCCGCAAAAAAAAAAAAAAAAAAAAACTAAAGGGAGATAGCTCAGCAGTCTAAGCACCTGCCTGGCAAGTGCAAGGACCCAAGTTTGATCCCTGGTACTACATGCCGTGCTGGACCCAGAACCATGCACTCTGCCGGCCACTGAAACTGGGTGTGGTGGTGCACACCTGTAATCCCAGCACTGGAAAGGCTGAAACAAAAGGATCACTATGAATCTGAACTGTGTAGGGTGACCCTGTACCGAATAAATAGATAAAAGATTAAAAAACAGAAATACTAAATCTTTTGGAGGAGAACGTAGGTAGAAATCTGGAAGACATAAGGGGAGGTAGAGAGTTCACAAAAATCAAACTGCAGAGGAACTACATCAAAGAATCAACAACTGGGATCTCACTGAAGTTTTTGCACATCAGAAGAAATCACTAACAGAGGGCTGGGGAGTTAGCTCAGCAGAATAAGTGGTTGCCTAGCAAGTGCCAGGTCCTGAGTTCAATCCCCAGTACCACAAAAAGAAAAAGAAAAATGAATTGGTGTCATGGTTTATGTCTAGGTGTCCCCCTAAAGCCCCATGCAGTCTTGGGGTGGCTTCTGGAGTTTGTGATTATTGTGGGTGTGGATGCTACACCTGGCCTGGGCAAGTAATTTGTATTACAATGTAAGGAGGAAAGAGAAGTTAGCTGCTTGAGCTGCTGCTACTCCTCCTTTTGTGCTCTTGCTCTTTGCTGCCACCATGAAAGGTTGTTCTCTGCTTTGTGCCGCTCTGCCTTGGAGTCAGCTGAATATGGACTGAAACCTCCAGTAACTGTGAGCTAAATAAACCTTTCCTTCCTTCATTTTAAGTATCCAGTATTTGTCCCAGCAAGGAGAGAAGAGTAACTAGGAAAACTGGCAAAAAATTTTGGCCAACTGTTCCTCAAGGACCTCTATGTAGAACATACAAAGAATTTAAAAAAAAAAAAAATCAAGCCACCAAACTTCCAAAGATCCAATCCAAACATGGGCATCTGATATGAATACACACTTCTCAGATGAAGAAATACAAATGGCAAATAAATATACAAACATCATTAGTTATTGGAGAAGTGCAAATTAAAACAATACTGAGGGGCAGGGAGATAGCTCAGCGGCATAAGACACCTGCCTCACAAGCACAAGGTCCTGAATTTGATCCCTAGTACCAAACACTAAGCTTGGGGGCTGGGGATATAGCTCAGTGGCATAAGCGCCTGCCTGGCAAGAGCAAGGTCCTGAGTTCAATCCCTGGCACTGCCCCCCCCAAAAAAAAAACCCCACCAAGTTTCCATCTCACTATGATCAAAAATCAACCAGTAAAAATTGCTGGCAAAGTTATGGGGGAAAAAGAAACCCTTCTTCACTGTTGGTGGGAGTCCAGGCTGGTACAACTGTGGAGATGAGTGTGGAGATCCCTAAAAAAAACTAGGATTGTAGGTCCCATTCAACCCAGCTATGTCCCTTCAGGATATTTTTCTACAAGAATTGAAAACATCATACCACTGCAATATATGATCACCCATGTGTATAGCAACACAGTTTGTCATAGTTAAATCTTGGAAGCAACCCAAATGCCCAAAAGCTGATGAATAGATTAAAAAGATGTGGCATTTCTATACAACAAAGTATTATGCAGCTATAAAGAAAGATAAACTCGGGGCCAGGGTGATGGCTCAGTGGAATAAGCACTTGCCTGGCAAGTGCAATGGCCTGAGTTCAATCCTGGTTCCACCAAAAAAAAAAGAAAAGAAAGATAAACTCAAGGCTTCTATAGGTAAATGGATGAAACTTGAGATCATACTCAAGTGAAATAAACCAGACCCACCTATGTAAACATCATATTGTCTCCCTAGTATAAGAAACTAAAAGAGTAAATAAAATCCAAAAGATATAATAGATATTGAGAAAGAAACTGCTCAAAAGGAAATAAAACTGGGATGGGGAAAAGAAGAAACAAGGGGGGAAAAAAGGCCAGATAACTTTACTACTAATTTCTATTGGCTTATTAAAAGGAACCAGTTAATGCCTAATTGGTTGACTTTGCATTCAGATATCTGGTAATCTTTTTTTTGGCAGCCTGAAGATGCCTTGAGGTATATCTGGTAATCTGAACAACTACTTTGAAGATAATATGAGATGTAAAAATCATTGTTAATTTCCTACCATCTTGTTTTGAAATTCTGTATCCTTTTTATTGTTTTTGTTTTATTCTCTTTAAATAAAAATAAAAATAAAATAAGGGCTGTGAAGTGACCTCAGCAGTCTAAGTTCCTGCCTGGCAAGCACAATGATCAGAATTCAGTCCCTGGTACTGCAAGCTGTGCCGGCCCTGGAACTTGTGTCGGCCCGGAAACCAGGTGTGGTGGCACATGCCTGTAATCCCAGCACTGGCGAGGCTGAGACAGGACAATCACTAGAGTCTAAACTACATAGTGAGACCCTGTATAAAATAAATAAAATAAAAGTACATGCCCAAGATGGTTCAGTTGGTCCCATGTCTTGAAGGTTGATTCGTATCTGGTAAAAATCACAGTCCCAAGCAGAAAGCTCAGCTCTGTCACTACAGGCTGTCCTATCTGGGACACAGTACTTCTACTCTAAGACTCCAAGTCCATGCCATAGAAGTTCCACGAGCATCCAATACACCAACACATGCTGTGCAAATGTGCGGGGATTGGCACAGGGTAAGTGCTCAATAAATGGCAAGCTATTCCTTCTTCTTCAATGGCAAGGAGCAGATGGCTACAATGGCAGCAGGTACCAACAGGGCAACATGCCCAGGGAATAAAAGCACGAATGTGAGTCAGTGAAACTAGACTCCTGATTTTCTTCCCGAGAATTGAACCAAGGGCTCTGGTACTGAACTATATCCCCAACTCTTTGATACAGCCCAGGCCCAGCTCAAACTTGACAGTTCTGCCTCAACCTCCCGGCATGCTGGGATTACAGGTGTGAGCTTGTGGGTGCTTTCTTTGGTCAGCCCTAACACAAGTCCTGGGGAAGCTGAATTTTCAAGGATGTTTAGAATGGCTATGCATAGGAAAATGTTTGATGCATTTAGGAAATAATTAATTTGGTATATGTGTGAAGGGGGGGTTGGAGTTCCTGAAAATAATTACATATTTTATTGTCTTACTGATTCTTTTTCTTCTTTAATGACAGGAACTCTTTTTTTTCAGTTGAGTATTTCACACAATCCCTCATGGTGGCTTGTACAAGGAAAGTACCTTGCCTAAATAAATGCCTCAATGCATTTTCTTGCTTTTTCTACTGCACTGAATGCAAATCCACAATTCCCCCCAAAGCCCACAAGCCTGTTTGATCTGTTGAGCCTCCAGAACCAAACCCAATATGCTAGTTTGCTTTCCATTTGCCATGACAAAATATCTGAAAAAAACAGCTTAAAGAAGGACTTATTTTGGTTTATGGTTTCACAGGTTTCAGTCCATGAATGCCTGGCCTCATCCCTTTGCTCCACAATGAGAGGGCTTCAATGATGAGTCAACATGGGAAACGCAGGACAAGGTTAAGCCAAATACAAAAAGAACTCCTAGGATCACTACGAGTTCGAGCTGCGTAGCGGGACCCTGTACAAAACACATAAATTAAAAAAAAAAACAAAACACAAAAAACAACTCCTACTACATGGGAACAGTGTACAGCTCTGTCTACAGAAATTGCCAAGGAACACAATATGAAGTCTGCTGCATTATAGGTATAACTTTTCTTTATTGAAAAATAATACAAAGCTTCTACAGTGGCTTTAAAAGAAAACAACAAAAAAACAATCACAAAGAACAGAATAAATCAAGAATATATCTTTGAAAATAAATGTTCTGAGAGGGATATACTATTGACCTCATCCAGATAGATGCCTGCCAGTACTGGGAAGCGGGTATGTGACCAGGCCCAGATGTTATGAGATGACAGTAATGGTCCCGAGAGCAGGGCAAGTGCCCAGCAGAATACTCGAGGCCCCGCCCCACTGCTGATGTTACTAGTCACCAGGCCCTTATTTGTCCCTCTTGAGTATTTTTATAGGATACATATTCTATTTTTAAGAACAAAATTCATATAAAATATTTGTATTTCTGCCTCCAGAAAAACCCAAATGCATAATTATTTCCCTCTCATAATAAAGCAATTTTCAATTAACCATCAAGTTATATGGTTTTTTTTTCAGAAAGGTTTATTTATCTACAGTGTTGAGGATCCAACCCAAGACTTTGTGCATAGCAAGAAAGAGCCTTTCCCATGAGCTACAATCCCAGCCATAAATTTCATGTTTATGGATAATAAATGGCATTAACTGTGTGGACATGTGACCACACTGAGGACTGCTGGATGGTATCTAGCAGAAGTACCATTCAACAAAATATTACCTACAACAAGAGCACTTTTCAACAGAAAAGTGCTTTCCATTTTAATGTTAAGCAACTGAGGGAAAGATCAGATTTCCTGTAACTGTAACAACAGGATTATAAAGGCTTCTCTACAGACCCCAAAACTATCCAGAATAGTTTTAGAGATCTTATAATGACATCATAATCTAGCAAGTGTAGCGCTCTTAAAAAAATGTCTAATGAACACTAAATTACACGAAGTTGCATAACAACAAAATTTGAAAGAAATTATTCATAACATTAAATTATCAAACATGTGAGTAAGCAACATCAATTAATGTTATAGCAGCTTACTAGTACATTGCAGCACTCTAGGCTATTACAAAAATAGTCATAATAGAGTCATAAAGAACTTAACATTCAGTGTCCTGATAATGGTAATCATTTACTTTTTACAAGCCATGTATCTTTCAGCAACATTCTCCCAGTTGATTACATTCCAAATAGCTTTTAGATAATCAGGTTGAACATTTTTATACTGAAGGTAATAAGCATGTTCCCATACGTCAATCCCCAGCAGTGGAATAAGACCTATCAGAAAAAAGAAAAAAGGAAAAACTTTAAACTTCCATCTAAAACACTGCAGCATCTTGATTTAAAAACTTACTGCGTACACACAAAATTGTCCTTTATAACAATCTCATCCATTTCCGATTCCCATATAACAGCAAATTTGCTTCAAAATACTCCCATAAAGAAATTTTAAGATTTACTTTGGAAAAGTATGTGATAGCTAGTAAAAATATTTAAAAGACTTTGGAAAATCACTACAATATTTTAATAGTGATTCTTCAAATAGCAATAGAATGAACCAAGAGCCAGCCTCCACCATCCACTCTGCCTCAGCAGCGGAGAGAGCTGAGCTATCTGTACGGTGGCTGAGGCCTTGGATGTCTCTTCCACAAGGAATCTACTCTCCTCCTCAAGGCTAATTTTTTAGAGCACATGCACCACTTACTAGACATCAAAGAGTAAGTTAACAAGGAAAGCTACAAAGGACTAAAGAGAAAGACACGTTGTTTTCATAAATTAAATAGTATAAATGAACATGTGGTTGTATCTGTAATTTTTAAAACTCTCAAAACTATAAACAATTCCCTTTCTTTTTTTCTTTCTTTTTTTTTTTTTTTTTGTGAAACCAGGAATTGAACTCAGGCCCTTGCGCTTGCCAGGGAAGTGCTTATTCCACTGAGCCATCTCCCTGGCCCCTATAAAACAATTCCAAACCAATATGTCTACAATTGTGATGGATACCACCAATAATTCAGTAATAAAGTATGTGAATAACTTTTTCCATATTAGAAAGATATTTACAAAAAGTTATGACTTGGGGGCCTGGCCCTAGCTCAGGCCTTTAAGTGGCTGCTTCCACAAAGCTGTCAGCCTCAGGTTGCTAGAGTTCGAACCTCACAACTCTCCCGCTGGCCAAAAGTGCCCTGAAGGCATTCGAGGAAAAAAAAAAAAAAAAAAAAAAAAGTTATGACTTGTCATTCCAGTGGGAAGGGGCAGAGAAAGAAGTATAGCTGGGATCCCCAGAAATCAATCTTTCCATCAGATATTGTGAGAGACACACGTGTCTCTAGATAGCAGTTGGTGCTCATAAATCTTTTGTAGATTCTCGCAGCATTTCACTTTCCCACAGTCCAGCAAATAGGGAGTGTATGCAGGGAAATACGATGTATAGGCAAGAAGTCGAAATCATGCATAGAGTGGGAAAAGTGGCAGAGAACTGCTGGTCCCCAGCGGTAAGGTGTAGCTTTAAATTTCAGAGATCAGTAGCCCAGTTAACTGCCTATAACATTTTATAATGAGCTTCTAATTCAATAAGCCTTTACAGAAAAACAAGATTTGCTGAGCCCAGCCTGAAATCTCCAGGCCAAGTATTTTCATACACCAAAGGCCCTCAGAAAGGCAGAAGTCTGGAAAACTGAGTTCTAATACCAGTTTAGCCACAAGAACTCAGTAGAGGGAAAGAATGTAAGTGCTGAAGTCAGACTCAGCTTCTACTTCTTTTCCTTGCTCTTGTCTATCTAGCTTTAGTTGTTTTCTGTTTTTTAAGATTTCTTATACATTGAAGTAAAGCTATGCTATCTGTAGGTATATTTAAACTGATGTTAGCTAATTGTAGAGCAAAGCAGGCTGTATGATTAAAACACTTTTGTTGATGTAACTACGCAATTACCTGTGCTTATCTTACAAAATATCAAGAACTTTAAAAGTATTTTACTTAGACAAGACTGTGGAATTATCTGTTACAGTGTGCTTAGGCTAGGGCTAGGGAGATAGCTCAGTGGAATAAACACTTCCCTGGCAAGTGCAAAGTGAGTTCAATCTCTGGTTCTGCCAAAAAAACAAAACAAAACAATGTGCTTAGGCTATTACATGTTTGCGGCAATTTTACATACTGCTTGTTTTTCTTTTACCTAAATGCTTTCGCATAAACCGCATCTCCCCCATGAAATGAGTAACAATCTTCAACTCTAACCTGTTGTTCCTTGCAGTGGATCCTGGTTAGCACAGGCAGCAATCTGTAAGCGCCCCTGCTCCTTATTGAAACCAAGCCAGCCCCAGCCAGAGCCCTGGACACCAACGGATACAGCTGTCAGCTTCTCCTTAAACTTCTCAAAGGAACCAAAGTCACGTTTGATGGCTTCCAGTAATTCCCCTATTAAAAAAATCCAAGTAACAGATTTCAACAATTATGATAAAATGTTCAATTACATGTATGAAAATATCCCTGTCAGATGGCCCAAAAAACTGGACAACATCACACAAAAGATATAACCCAGTTAGTGTGAATAATATTTACATTCCTCATGCCCCAACACCAGTACCTTCAGTTTAAATTTTAATTCATGTGTTTTTGGTTTTTGTTTTTATTCATGTGTTTTTAATGAAGCTAGAGATTTCATTCATGGTATTTTCATCAGGAAATAGTATTTTCCATTGGGTTTTATTTCTTTTTCCCTCAACAGAAAATTTCGAAATTTTACTTTAAAGAGAAAAAAGAAAAAAGAATCAAAACAATAGTTGAATAACAATGGCTAATACATTGTTTACTGCTATCTTTAAATTAGCTACTCAGAGAATAAGATATAGGCATTTACTGTTCAAACAATATTAGCACAAACCTTTCTTTTCAATAAGATAGGTTAGTAGTATAACTATCTTAACTACTTGGTATACCAATATCTGCATCTACGTATTTTGCTTTTCCTTTCCTTCTTTTCTCCTCCCCATCCCAATTTCTCTTTCCTTTTGATCAGTTTCTTCTCATTTTATAATATCTATTGTACATTTTGGATCTTATTTACTGCTGTAGTTTGGGATTTTTCAAGGAGAAAAAATATAATACAGGACACTTAATTGTAAGATTATTTTATAATCGTCACCCAAAGAGTCAAGAGTGCAGGACATCTGTCCGCATACTAAAGACACAAAGAATCCAGCAGAGGGTCTGGATCCCAAGGTAATGTCCTGCACTGAGTCCAGCTGAAGACCTAGACCCATAACAATGCCTCCTCACGAGTCTAGCTGAAGGCCAAGAGCCCATGACAATGTTTCATGCAGGCCTGTTTCACAGATTTGCACTGGGAAGGCCCAAAGGTCAGTGAAGAAGCTAGAAAGTCCATGCCAGCGGCATGAAGGATGTGTGCTAGCAGGCTGAGGGATCTGAACTGGAGCCAGGAAGCAACACTCAAAGTAAGAACCAGAGCTCCCCCAAAAAGTGCCACAGCCATTCTCAGGAACAGTAAGGTCCTGAGCTCCTCTGACAGTGGTAACAGCCAAGTTTCCACCAGGAAAGCCAACACAACAAGCTTCTCCCAGAGACTAAGCTGTGCACCACCTTCCCCTCCACAGGCAGGAAGCAATGCTCAAGGCGAGGACCTGAGTTCCCCCAAAGCGAACCGTAGCTACTGACACCCAAGGTCCCAAGCTCCTTCAACAATGAGAACAGCTGAGTTCATCAGAAAAGCCAGCATAACAAGGTCCTCCAAGAAGACCAACAACTGCCCCAGGGAAACCAGCAGCTCCCAACAGCTTCTCCAGCCTCCTGCCTTCTTCTCCAGTTCTGCCTCTTATACTGCCACCAACAATCCTCAGGTGGGCCTCCCACTCCCAGCACCACCCTGGTTCAGTTCATCTGGTTGCAACAAGTTGACTACCAGTTGTCAATCTACCACAATGCACCCCTGTCTACTTGATAACCATACACATTTCCTTAATCCATACTTTCTAGTGGCAGATTTGCAAAAAGTTAACAGGTATTGGTTAACTCAACAAGTACATATACACAATTTTTATCACACTCATTTCTACACCAAAAGCAAAATATTCAAAGGGTTATTTACCAATACACAAGGCTAAAATATAATACTTTAGTTAGTCTGATTTTTTTTTGTTAATCTGATTTTAAACATCTAAAAACAAAACTAAAATCATATTAAAAAACTATTAGAATCACAGTTCTTGCCTCCCATTATCTTTTTACAAGGCCTGGCAAAACTAAAAAAAATAGTGATCTCCTGAAATTTTTAGACACTCTTCAGGTGAAAGGCTTCAGTTCATTTTCCTATTGTCCTGTTCTTAACAACTATGTTTTCCTCTATTTCTTCCTTGCAACCCACAGTCCCACTAGCACCTCCCCTCTGGCCAAATGTTTTATACCACTCTGCTGGCTCTTCACTCTTACATTCAAACATAGATCTAGCCAAAAGTTCTCAACAATAACCATGCCACGGGCCCAATAGCAGACTACATTGAATTTCTTCTGCCACCTACGTAATATCTATAAACACAAGCAAAATGAGGACCCACTTTCTACCAAACCACAGTATACTACCTAGGGTTCAGCAGCCAGGGCAGTTCTCAGCTGAAGCTTCCTGAGCTTCATCTTAACTAGCAGCATTTCCATCAATCCTGTAAGTTTCCAGGCTCTGCCCAGACTCTCCAATATAGTTTACAGCATACAGGGCTGCCGCTTTGGTCAGTTTCTCAAAACTTTTCCATATTAATTCCAAAGGCTCTTAAGTCACATGGCCAGGCAATGTCACAACAATGACCCACTTCTGATACCAAATTCCATCTTGGCTATTTTTCTCTTATTGTTGAGACAAAACAGCCGGTTTCCAAAATTAAGGAAGATGGGGACTGGGGAGATAGCTCAGTAGAATAAGCACTTGCCTGACAAGTGCAGGGTCCTGAGTTCAATCCCCAGTACCACCAAAAAGAAAAAAGAATTAAGAAACAAAAGGCTTATTTAGCTCACAGTTTATGGAGATTTCAGTCCATTCTCAGCTAGCTCCAAGGCAGAGTGGCACAAAATAGAGAGCAACAGTTTATGACAGCAGAAAACAGCAAAAGCAGCAAGAGCAAAAAAGGAAGAGTAGCAGAGAGTTAGCCTCTTTCCCTCCCTTACTGTATACAAGCTTCCTGTCCTAGAGGGCGTTAGCACTCACACCTATAATCTCAGCAGTAGACCACGAATCAATCAAAAAACTTTAGAAGCCCACCCCATGACTGCATGAAGCCTTGAGAGAACATCTAGGCACAAACCGTAACATTTATTCTTTCAGTTTCTCACGCTAGAGAGATAATATGTTTAAACATATGAGTCTGGTTTATTTCACATATACATATGGTCTCAAGGTGCATCGATTTACCTACAAAAGTCTCAAGTTTATTTTTCTTCATGCCTGACTAGTAATAAAAATAGCACATCTTGGGGCCAAAGAGATAGTTCAGTGGCATAAGCGCCTGCCTGGCAAGTGCAGGTCCTGAGTTCGATTCCTGGTACAAAAACAAATAAACAAAGAAAAAACACACATCTTTTTTACCCAGTCCTTAGCTGATGGGTATCTGAGTTATTTCTAAGATCTAGCTATTACAAATTGTACTGCTATAAACATGGGTGCAGATATATCACCATGGTACAATGTTTTTAATGCTTCTAGAAAGTTATCCAGAAGGGAAATAATTAGGTCAAATAGCATCTCCAGTCCTAGTTTTTTAAGGAATCTCCACACTGATTTCCATATAGGTTGCACTAGCTTACATTCCCACCAACAGTGGGCAAGCATTCTTTTTTTCTCACGACACTTCCAGCATTTTTTATTTATTGATTTCTTGATACTTGCCATTCTTTTCAGGATGCTGAACATTTTTTCATGTATTTATTTGCGGTTTGTATTTCTTCATCGGAGAAGTGTGTATTCATCTCAGATGCCCACTTTTGGATAAGGTCTTTAAATGTGGGAGATCTGATTTTTTTTTTTTTTCCCCAGAACCGGGGATTGAGGTCAGGCCCTTAAGCTTGCCAGGGAAGCACTTATTCTACTGAGCCACCTCCCCAGCCCCAAGATCTGATTTTTTTAAAATTTATTTGTGTGTGTGTGTGTGTGTATGTGTGTGGCCAGCTCAGCCCACCAGGGGGTGGGGCTGGCTGGCATGTGGTGCTGGGGGATTGAACCGTGGTACCTGTGCTTTGTTAAGCTTGTTCTAAGTAGGTGCTTTAGACCACTGAGTCATCTCACCAGCCCTGATTTTTTTTTTTTTTTTGGTTTTTTTATTTTTTGTGATGCCAGGGATTGAAGTCAGGACCTTGCACTTGCCAGAGAGGTGTGTATGCTGCTAAACTATCTCACTGGCCATATATGTTCTTTTTTAAAATTAAAAAAAAAAATTTTTTTTTACATGTTCTTGATAGTAATCCTTTGTCTGAGAAACAGCTAGCACACATTTTTTCCACCACATTTCAAGTTATCTATTTACTCTGTTGGGTGGCTTTTCTTGCTGTGAAAAAGCTTTTTAGTAAAATAAGATAGCACTTGTTGATTTTTTTTTTGATAGTTCCTGTGTGACTGGGGTTTTATCCATAAAATCTTTCCTTACATCAGTGTCTTCAAGAGTTTTATCTATCCTGGGTCGGGGATATGACTCAGCAGTATAAGTGCCTGTCTGGCAAGTACAAGGTCCTGAGTTCAATCCCCAGTGCCAAAAATAAATAAAGAAGAGCTTTATCTATTCTACCTTTCAGCATATTTAATATTTAAATCTCTGATTCATTTCAAATTTGGGGGCCGGCGAGATAGCTCAACAGAACTAAATGCTTCCTTACGCAAGCGCAGGGACTGAGTTTAATCCTCAGCACCACTTGCTGCACCAGCCCCACGCCTGGGTATGTCAGACACTGAGACCGGGCCTAGTGGCACATGCCAGTGCTGGGGAGGCTGAAAACAGGAGGATTACTATGAGTGTGAGCTATATCTTTGTTTGTTTTTGGTTTTTTTGTATTTTAGGGAAGAGTCTACAGGGTGTTCAGGGTCTCACTACTAGATCGGACTCATAATAATCTGCCTGTTTACAGCCTCCTAAGAACTGGGATCACAGGCGCACACCACCACGCCCAGTTTCAATTGTCAGTCTCAGCACATCTCAGGGGTGGGGCCGACACAGCAAGCTGGGGATCGAACTCCGGCCCCTGAGCCTGCTTGCAGGTGCTTTAATTCAATGAGCTATTTGGCTGGTCCATATGTTTAAAAAAAATTTAGTATAGTACATGGTGAAAGTTATGGAGCCAATTTTAACCTTTGGTGTATACAAAGCCAGTTTTTCCTGCACCATTTATTAAAGAGGCTAACTTTTTTCTAGTGAATATGTTTGGCACCTTTATCAAAGATAAGGAAGTTGAATATGTCTGGAGTTGTTCCTACATCTTCTAATCTGTGCCACTGATGTTTAGGTCTGGTTTTTAGTTTTTTTGCCAGTACCATGCTGGGGCTGGTGAGATGGCTCAGTGGTCTAAAACACCTACTTAGAACAAGCTAAGCAAAGCACAGGGACCGCGGTTCAATCCCCCAGCACCACATGCCAGCCAGACCCGCCCCCTCGTGGGCTGAGCTGGCCACACACACACTAAATAAAAATTAAAAAAAAAAAGAAAAAAAAAAATTTCAAATCAGGGATTGTGATGCCCCTTGCCTTACCTGTGTTGCCCAGAATTGCCTTTGCTATTCTAGATCTCTTCTGGTTCCAAACGAATTTTGGATTGTTTTCTCTAATTCTGTGAGATATGCTATTGGAATTTTGATCAGAATTATATTAAATCTGTATAACAGTCTTGAAAGTATGGCCATTTTCACTATATTTGTTCTTCCTACCCAAGAGCAAGGGATATCTTTCCATTTTCTGATATCCTCTTCAATCTCTTTTTTCAGAGTTTTCAATGTAGAAGAGGTCTTTTACATCCTATGTTAGATTGATTCCTAGGTATTTCATTTTTTTTGGATGCTACTGTGAAAAGTGTTATTTCCCTTAATTAATTAATCTCTCTCTCTCTCTCTCTCTCTCTCTCTCTCTCTCTCTCTCTCTTTTCAGTACCAGGGGTTAAACTCAGGACCATCTGTTGAGCTATTCCCCGGCCCCCTAATTTCTTTCTCCATGAGTCTGTTATTTCTGTAAAAAAGAGACCCTAGATTCATTCCAGCAACCCCTTAAAAAAAGATGTAAAGAAAAAGAAAATCAACGGTCATTCCTATTATGCATGAAGTGTACATAAGTTTGTACCAACATATACTAACCTTTGGGTTCTCCACCACCATTAGGGCTCAGGTTCGTCCAGAAAATGCTGTGATTGATATGACCTCCACCATTGAACTTCAGGGCAGGCTGAAGTGCTACCTGAGTCGTAACGTCTCCTGAAATATTAAAATGTACCTTATTAAATATTAAAATACACTTTTAAAAATTCTCACTTTTAGCCAGATGTCCTACAAAAGACATGGCAACATATACCTATAATCCTAGCCCTCAAAAAAGATACTGAGACAGAAAGATTGCTATGTTTGAGGCCAGCCTAAACTATACAGCAAAACTCTGTCTTTAAAAAAATAAAATTCTTGCAGCTGGCCTGATAGTTCAATGGACTAAAGTGCTTGCTTAGGCAGAGCGCTGCAGCTGGGGTTCCATCCCCGGGGCCGTGTTGGCCCAACCCCCAGGGTGTGCTGAGTCAGCGACTGAGATTGGGCATGGTGGCGCGTGCCTGTAATCCCAGCACTTGGGAGGCTGAAAACAGGAGAATCACTATGAGTCCGATCTGTGTAGTGAGACCCTGTAGACTTAAATACAGCAAAAAATAAAATTCTTAACTCTTTACAGTGTTTTTTTTCTTTTGTAAGACATCAGAAATTATACCACCTTATGTATAGTATTCCTGTTTTTCCTAAAATTCAGCAATTTCATATTCTACTCCCAAAAAGGACTCCCCAAAAAACCTGTTCCTGAGTTTCAGTTTAATTAATGGTGTAGTACATAACTGGTGATTAGAACAGTAGAGGTGGTCAAAGCTAGGGAAAAATTCACTTCTCATAGCCAATGATTCAGGGTTCTCTTAGATACAAAAGATTTCAACAAAGCAAACACCAAAGCACATTGAGTACAGTAATGGAATGCTACGACGTATGGCTCAGCATATAGATTAAACAGAAAATATTCAACTCTCACTTTTCCAAGTAAGAATTATTTACTGGGAAATGTTTCAAACTGAAACTAAAAAAAGAAATTCAGCATATTCAAATTGAGCTCCTGATTTTCAAACCCAAGCTCATTGCTTCCATAGTTTTCTCCATCTCAGTGAATGCCAACTCTGACCCTCACTGGTGTCACCTTTGACTCCTTTCTGCTCACACTCCACACAGTCCATCCCCATACCCATCAGCAAAGCCAACTCCAACTTCAAGACACATACGGAATCCACTCAAGTCCTCCAAATTCTGCTGCTACCTTAGAATGCAAGTGCACTGGTATCTGCCACCTGCAATTAGTACCAGTCTTCTTCCCAAAAGGTGTCCCTTCTCACCAGGAGCAAGCCCTAAGTCCTTACACTGAGCTTAAAAAGGGACACATCACCTGGTCGCCTGCTCCATTCCCGAGCCACACTGGCATGCCCACACTCACATGACACGCGTAGCACACTCCCTGCTTAGGGCTTACGAGCTATCTCTGCAGGAACAACCTCCCCCATCCAGCTTCACACTTCATCCTCATTTCTCCTTCTAGTGTCACTTCTTCAACCAGGACACCCAGCCACTCCCCACCAGCTCTCAGACCCCATACTCCATCTCTGGCAACCTGCACGTGCACTCCTCCATCTGTGTCCCCAGTAGACTACATGCACCAGTGAAGACAGACTTTTGTGCACTGCTGTAGCCTCAGTGCCCAATACTGCCTCATACACACAACACACTAAATATTTGTTAATTTACTAGATGATTGAATTTATTGAATGTAGTTTCTAAAAACTGGTCCTCTTTATAGTTCTGAAAAAAAATGTCATGTTTGAACTTTCTGATTTTTTTTTTTTTTTTTTTTTTTTTTTGGTGGAACCAGGGATTGAACTCAGGCCCTTAGGCTTGTAAGGGAAGCGCTTATTACACTGAGCCATCTCCCCGACCCCTAAGGAAGCCCTTATTCTACTGAGCCATCTCCCAAGTCCCTCTGAATGTATTCTTAAAAACACTGAGCAAAGTAAACTGAAACCAAAGAGACCTCTTGGTAAACAAGTACACAAATTATTTTCTTTTCTATGTCTTCATGAAGCTACAGACTAACTGAAGTTTTGACGAAACTAGAAATTCCCTTGTTCAATAAATATTGAGTGCTTATGATCCACCATACCAACAGAGGCAAAGTGAAGGTCAGAAGCCCTGATAGCTCTGCTCTGTAAGAACTGAACTTTCGGAAAAAGTTTTCAACTTCCAAATGTCTCTTTCTGGGGGCTTGCAGATTAGCTCAGTTGTTTAAGCACCTGCTAGGGCAAACCTAGTCAGGTGCAAGGCACCATGGTTCGATCCCCAGCTCTCCATGCCTTACCAGACCTGCCCTTAAGGCAGCCTGAGCCAGCTAAAAAAATAAAAATAAAAAAATGAATCCTCCCCAAATGTCTCTTTCAGAAACAATTCTCTAGTTGTTTAGCAATTCAGAGGGGAGATGACCAAGTGATATAAGTACATGGACGATCTCTTACGTTTCTTTGAGATTCCAGTTTTTTCTCCCCTTAATGTATTTACAAGGTAATATTCTCACAGGTCCGTGTTTCCCTTATTAATTTTCTCTGGAGTTACTCTAAAACTATAAATGAGATTTCACATTGTCTTAAGTAAGTCAAAACTGAATTTCCTGAATGAGAAAGAAATGAGAAAGAATCATGTTTATTAATAGCAAATTTAGTAATCGCACCATCCTTAAGTTTGCTTAAACTACTTTAAATTTTTCTTTTTCTTTTTTTTTTTTACTACTTTAAATATTTCAAAGGAATGAACTATGCTTTTAACAATTTTCTAAAGTACATTATTTTCCTTGGTTTCAATTCAGGTTTTTTTCTTCAAATAAAATAAAAGTTAAAAACTTATGGTTGAAAAACTATTTACATTATGTGTGATGAAATTATGCTATTTTAGTTATATTTTGTGATTTTTTTTTTTTTTCGGAACCAGGGAATGAACTCAGATCCTTGCACTTGCCAGGGAAGTGCTTATTCTACTGATCCATCTCCCCAGCCCGTAGTTATATTCTTTGTGCCAAAGTTTTCAATTATGAAAAGTTAACTCTTAATCTCAAAAATACATTTTTTAAGGAAAACAAGTTCTGTGGTTATAATTTATAGTCAGTGTAGCACTGCAATATTATTTTTTTTTTCCAGTGGCTGCTATTAGGCAAAGTTTTTATTCCACAAGAGGGGGAGGCCTGCTGTGGTGCTGCACGCCTGTAATCCCAGCACTGAGAAGGCTGAGGCAAAAGGATCACTGCAAGTTAGAGACTAGCCTGGGCTAGAAAGTAAGCTCAAGGTCTGGTGAATAGCATAGTGAGACTCTGTCTCAACAAGACAAAAAAAAAAAAAAAAAAAAAGGTTGAAATTAAGATTTTCAAAAATATTGAGTATGTCAGATATTTCTCATAGGAAATAGTCTCATAGCTGGGCTATTCCCCAGTTTCACTATTACTACATAGTTATGATTTGTGTCTCAGGCAGTCTTGGGGCCTTTTCAGAGGTAGCTAAATCTGGAGCAGGATGTTAGTTTTTGTTTTGTTTTGTTTCAATGTATTTGGTACAGGGTCTACAGGGACTCAAATTGGACTCGTAGTGATTCTCCTGTTTTCAGCCTCCCAAGTGCTGGGATGACAGGTGCGTGCCACCACACCCAGTCTCAACTGCCATTTCGGTGCACCTCATGGGCAGAGCAGGCATGGCATGCCAGGGATCAAACCCTGGTCACTGTGCTCTGCCTAAGCAGGTGCTTTAGTCCGCTGAGCTATATGGCTGGCACCAGGATGCTAGTTAAGGATGCATGATTACGAAATCAGTCCACTGATTGGTTTGGCACTGCCCTACTTCCAGTAGTTTAGATAGAGTATAAAGTGGGCAGAAAGACACTGTCATAGTCTCTTGTTGCTTTTGCTGTCTTCCACCACCATAAAAAAAGACGCCCCTTTGCTGTGTGCCACCCCGCTCTGGAGTCGGCTGATTACGGACTGAAACCTCTACAAACTGAGGTAAATAAACCTTTCCTTCCCTTAACTTTCGAGCATTGGGTATTTGAGCAATGAGAGAAAAGTTACTAAGACACACATCCTCCACACATTTTTTATTTCCTAAATCTCAAGCCTCTTCCCATATTCAAGGTTCATCTAAGTCCGGAACATGCTAACTTCCTCCTCCTTTTGCTCAGGTATTTACCTCAAACACAAGCTGAAATACTACATTTGTCCACTAGATGCCACTAGTCACCTAGTTGACCAGCTGTCACTGTCTTAAAAAACTACAAATTGCATAGGCCTGAAAGTCAATAAAAACAGTTAAGAAAGAATATATTTTCTAGCCTAGCAAATAAATGTGGCTATAAAGTATTTTCACTGTGCAAACTGATTTTTTTTTTATGTTTTTGTTTTTGAGACAAGGTCTCACTATGAAATTCTGGCTGGCCTTAAACTCATCAGGTATCCCAGGCTGGCCTGCAAATCACAGTGATTCTCCTGCCTCAGTCTTCCACATGCTGGTTTACAAGTGGGGGCCACTACAAACAGTCTAACTAAAGGATTAAAAGAACATACTAAGGAGCCGGGGAGATGGTTCAGTGGAATAAGCTGCTTGGCAAGCACAAGGACCTGAGTTCAATCCCTGGTTCCGCCAAAAAAAAAAAAAAAAAAAACGTACTATTTTGTTTAGACATTAAAACAGTTCATATTCCTATGTATACTCCCAGAGATAAGACCACAAAAAAATCACATTTTACTGGTTTTGTCAAAAGAGCAATTTAAAAGAAGTTAGCTCCATATTATATTAAGTGAATTTCAAATATTCAATTTCCACAAAAAAGATCATTTTTCTTAAAAAAAAAAATTGACCTCCAAATTAAATCAGAGCAAAAAAGGCCTGACCTATTCCACAGCCAAGTAACTACTTTTTAGTAACGAACACCATCATACTAACATCTGTCTCTCCCACATAAAACAAGAGGGTTAAGTCCAATTCACTTGTGTGGGCTCAGAAGTCTGCTAAATAGAATGTCTTCTATTTCTCACGATTCTACCCCTTCCCCAGGAAGGGAACCTAAGGGCAGCATCTAGCAATGCTAGTTCAATGCTGAGGCACCCTTGGAAAAAAAGTTTTAAAAGGCCGTCTTCTCCCACCTACTGCCCAGGCACACACTTTGGTTGCAGGCTGTAAAGCCTCAGCCCACCTCAGGCACTCCTGTGACGCTCAAGGACACTTGCATGACAGTCTGGGCCACAAGCTAACGGCTCTCTCTCTCTCTCTCAGCTCTCCAACAAATAGCTGGCAAACCTATCTGAGAGACCAAATACGTATCTCCAAGAGCTCATTATATAACATGAGCAAATTTTAAATGCTAACGTGCAAAAATGAAGTACACATTAAGTTCTCTTTAAAGCCCGTACAACTCACCGACATTAGCAATATGAATAACAACACTGGCCTTAACAAACGCCTCTACGGGATTCTAAGTTTTCTGAGATAAGGAAAGTGTATTCAAACGAATCAATAACTCTGCTACAGTAAGACAAGTCACTTTTTTTTTTTTTTTTTTTTTTTTTGAAGGGGGATTTGTGCCTAGAACTCTGAGGGCTGGAAACGCGGGAGACCCTTCTAGGCGGTACCGGCTCACGGTCCGTCTGCTGCAGCCACGAGGGCCTCGCACCTACCCTTGGCCAGCGCCTCCTGGTACTTCTCCTCGGTGGCGTTCAGGTTGTTCACATAGGTTGCATGGTGCTTGCTGTGGTGCAGCTCCATGATCCGGGCGTTAATGTGAGGCTCCAGGGCCCCATAGTCGTAGGTCAAGTCCGGGAGGCTGTGCTTCTGCCGGGCCCCCAGGATCCCCAAAGCCGGGGCCAGCCTCCGACTCGCGCTGCAAGACAGACCCGCCGGGGTCACGCCGCGGGTGCCGCAAAGAAGACCCCACCGGCCCGCAGCCCCTCGCCCCGAGGACCCGCACCCGCCGTGCCCCGCGAGTCCCTCCATGGCGCCCTCGGCTCACCTGCACGCCACATAGGGTAACATGGCCCTGCGTCTCACACCACACGCCGCTCTGAGAACCCGCGCCCCCCGAACGCAGCCGAGCGTCTACAGAGCGACGTCCAGCGGCGCACAAGTACTGCCGCCTACTGGCCCCGCCCCACCTGCCGCGCCCAACACGGAGGGGGACATGGGGTGGCCGGAGAACCTGGCTCCTGCTCTGGCCCCATTCCCTTGCCTCGAAACAAGTGAAATCGGAGCTCTTGACTACCTTGGGCCGCGGCAACCGTGGTACCTGTCTGGCACACTGCTATGGCGTGTCGCCAAAAAAACGCTGCCCCCCCCGCCGTGTGCAGTTGGTATGATCCGCAGGCCCGCCCACCCCACCTCCGCTCCGCCCCTCTGCGTCCGCTGGGGCGCTGCCTAGCTTGTAAGCATGGGTACCCGAGTATCCGGTCCTTTCCCGGCGTTGACCGCAGATTACGGGCTCCCCAGAGACAGGGCACTGTCCCTCGGCAAGACAAGGCCTGGCTGTGAGTCAGGGCCGCGGAAGGAGCTTGTTGGCGGAGGGCATAGGGCCAGTGTCCTCGTGTTTAGTTCGCTCACCCCGTGCCCGGAGTGACCTTGGTTTGAAAGTAGGTAAAGGGGCCTGGTGTTTTCCTCCTAGCCAGATCCAGGATAGGAGCCAGGCTGACATTATCCAACTGGCTGCCTCCAGCTGGGCGTGGTGGTACATGCCTGTAAATCCCAGCATTTATGGAGGCTGACTCAGGAGAATCTCAGGTGCAAGCCACACTAGGCCCCTGTCTCAAAAAAATAAAAATAAATGTGTAGCACAGAATTCATTTACTGAAACTGAATAAAACTGTCAAAGTGGGGGGAAGAGAAAAAAGAGGAATTGGTTATATAACTCTGCGAAGGCCTTAGGTTCAATCCCTGGTACCGCCAGGCATGGTGGCTCACTCAGTAATCCCAGGACTCAGGAGGCTGAGGCAGGAGGATTGTTGTTTGTTGTGAGTCAGGATTAGAAATTAAAAGTCATACTTTCCTGTCTACTAAGCCCTGCCAGGCAAAAAAAAAAAAAATTTTTTTTTTCTTCTGTATTTTAGGGAAGGGACTACAGGGTGTTCAGGGTCTCACTGCTAGATTGGACTCATAGTGATTCTCCTGTTTTCAGCCTCCCAAATGCTGGGATTACAAGCGTGCTGCCACCACACCCAGTCTCAGCAGGCCCCCGGGGCAGGGCGCTTTAATCTGCTGAGCTATTTAGCTACACCAGGCAGTTTTTTTGTTTGTTTGTTTTTTGCTGTGCCAGGCAAGTTTGTTTGTTTGTTTGTTGCAGAACGGGGGATTGAACAGGTAAGTGCTTATTCTATTGAGCTATTTACCCGGCCCCCAGGCAAGTTTTTATAACTATGAAAACTACTGACTAACTTCAGTGACTTCGCTGAACCAAATTCCCAGAAGAATAAAAATGGACAACAGAGAATTCTTCCTATGCTGTTTTAAAGTCCAGTAAGCTATGTCAACTGTTTTCTCAACAATTTAAAAAATAATCCTGAATTATGTAAATCTTTATATAAAATCTAGGAAAGTCAATGACATAATTTTGGGTCTTTGTTGAACAGAACAATATCAAAAGAAGCAGGGCTGGTGAAATGGCTTAATGGTCTAAAGCACCTACTTAGAACAAGCTTAGCAAAGCACAGGGACTGCGGTTCAATCCCCCAGCACCACATGCCAGCCAGCCCCGCCCCCTGGTGGGCTGAGCTGGCCACACACACACACACAAATAGTTTTTAAAAATTTTTTTAAAAAAGATAAAAGAAGAAGCAGCAAGTACTAAATAGATTTTCATTTTCCTGTGTCACCTTTGCATCCCTTCCAAGGATGAGCAGGCTTCCAGTTGAGGAAAAGAGGACCTGCCAGGAAGGGTGTTGTTCAGCTGTTAGGAGAATGTAACTCCTGACATTTGTTGAGGTGAGGATGACAGTCAGGGTAGGCCTTTGTTGTGGCTATCCTTAAAACATAGAGAAGAATTTCTGGGTTTCATATAGTTGGTAATGGGAAGTTGCGATTCATGTGGATTAATGACAGCAAGAAGTACTAGAAACCATCTTTAGGGTGCTAGTTATGGCAACTAGGGGAACATGACATTTTGAAAGATAAAACAGCAGAATTCAGTGATGAGTCAGTGACTAATGAAAGAGCTTGATCTAATGAGAGCAACATGTAAGTATAAGGAGACAGGTAGTCATGGCGCCTCAAGGTGCTTGTATAGCTAATGATACTTAGAAGCTTAAAGTGACCCCTAGGACATCCCTTTTTGTTGAACAGGCAACAAATATTTGGGCAGGGTGTAGGGTGACACCAACAATCAAGGAGCATCCAGGGTTGAGACCAAGGTGGTAGGGGTACAGGAGCCAAAGAATTTATTGCCATTTTTCTCTACTATACCTAATAATGTCTTCTTCTAGTAGCCTCTGAAAGAAATCCAGCTGCTTCCCATTTTGCAAGATGCAGGCGGAAAAAACTGAGAAGCCAGACACTAAAGAGAAGAAACCTTGCTGGGGAGATGGCTCAGTAGAATTAAGTGCTTGCCTAGCAAGCGCAAGGGCCTGCGTTCAATCCCCAGTTCCACGAAGGAGAAGGAGAAGGAGGAGGGAGGAGGAGGGG